CAATATTGCCATCAACATATTAAATTAAGTTCAGCTTCTGTGTTTATTAGCACTCAATAAACAATGTTGTAGAGATGTTGCTGTGTCTCTAAGCATTTCCCCTGCCACAGTTGCTAGTTTCCTGAGCTGTGTCTATACCATACCCAGCCTCAAATTGCTAAACAAGGAAGAGATATCAACAACAAAGTCCATCAGAGTCCCCAGCTCCTCAATTAGTTGCCTGAATATTTCCATCGGCTGGATAGAATTAAGAACGTTGACTGGGCACAGTGGCTCATGCCTGTAATACCAGCACTTTAGAAGCCCGAGGCAGGTGAATCACCTGAGGTCAGGAGTTGGAGACCACCTGACCAACATGGTGAAACCCCGTCTCTACTAAAAATACAAAAATTAGCCAGGCATGGTGGCAGGCGCCTGTAATCCCAGCTATTCAGGAGGCTGAGGCAGGAGAATGGCTTGAACCTGGCAGGCAGAAGTTGCAGTGAGCTGAGATCGTGCCATTGCACTCCAGTCTGGGCAACAAGAGCGAAACTCTGTCTCAAAAAAGAACAAAAAAGAAAAAAAAAAAGAATGCTGTAAAGCCTCACCAATACAGTAAGTGAAAATTTAAAAATAAACAACAAAAACTAAGTAGACGCTGGGAACCAACACTAGTAGGTAGATCAATCAGATGATATGACAGTGAAGGGATATATTTTTAAAAACCATCCTTCATATTTGTTGGGACAAGAACATTCACAATCATCATTATCTCTCTTGTGTCCCATAACAACCTTGCAATTCTCATTTAATTGATGTGTAAATTAAAGCTAAGTGCAGCAAATGAATTGCCCAAGTAACCTCTGCTAGTTAGTGGCAGGCCAGTGATTAGTACTCAGGACATCTGAATCTTATGCAGCATTTCATACAAATGAATAGCTTTTTTTTCCCCCACAGGAACATTTAAAATGCTTAATCCATCCACTTGAAAAATAAAGAATAAGAAATACAAAATGTATTCAATATACAAAATGCAAATACATAATACTTCATTTTCTTTTTGCATTTGTCATGTTTGCAAGTTTACATTTGTTTATGCGATTACATGATTCAAGCCCATCTCCCCAACTACCCCAAAATGAATCATATCAATTTTTAATCTAACACATAGTAGGTGATCAAGATGTATTTAATGATTACATGAGTGATCTACTGGTGTTGATTATAATCAGAAGGTCACATGTAGGTGAATTTAGTTGTTGGTTTAAGGAGGAGCAGAAATGCTAGCGGTATCTTATACAGAAACACTGAAAATGGGCAAAGGAGTCACTTCCTAGTTGCTGAAGAGGATGATTTGCATGTACTGGAGTTCGTGATTTGAAGTCAAGAGCAGGGCTGATCTAAGCAGAGCAGATGCGGTTGCTAAGCATTGGTTTACAGGGTAGTGAAAGTCAAGGGGCTGTCTCAATTCTTTTTAAAAATAAAAAATAAAAATAAAGCGTGGGGTTTCTTAATGCTTAGTCCTTAACAGATCTACATCAGAATACCTGGGTAGTTTAAGGAGGCAGATTCTTGGATCGAAACCTTCAGAATTTCCAGGGGGCAGTGCCAAAAAATCTGCACTTATAACAAGCTCTCCAGGTATTTCTTACTTCCAAAGTTTAAGAACTACTGGACCTGGAATAGGTCTAAGACTGTATCTGGAGAAGAGTCAGCCTTATGTTAATATTATAAAGTAAGAAGAAGAGAAACCTATGAAAGAAAAAAAGAGCAGCCAGAGAGCCAGAGTCAGGGCATTGTTGTTATGAGCCAAGGGAGGTGAAAGTTTAAGAACAAGTAGATGACCAAAAATGTCAAATGTAACAGAGATATCAAGAATGAAGACAGACCAGCCTGGGCAACATGGCAAAACCCCGTCTCTACAAAAAAAAAGTACAAAAGTTAACTGGGCGTGGTGTTGCGCACCTTAGTCCCAGCTATTCAGGAGGCTGAGGTAGGAGGATCACCTGAGCCCAGGAGGTCGAAGCTTCAGTGAGCTGTGATCACGCCACTGCATTCCAACCTACAGAGCAAGACCTTGTCTCAATTAAAAAAAAAAATGAAGATAGAGAAAAGCTGTTGAATTTGGCAAAAAGATCAACTGTGGCCTTGGAATATATTTTTTGTAAAGTTGTGATGTAAAATACAGACTTTTCTGGGCCCTGACCTGTCCTTCGAGACCCAACTAAAAACATTGCCTCCCAGTGATGTATTTCTTGGACTGAGTCCACCAATTCCTGTGGTAGATAATTCTCTTATAGCAGTTCACCTATTATACTAAAATTCTGTTCACCTGTTTTTCTTCCTTATTAGACTGAGAATTTATTGAAGGCAGAAGCTGTGCCCCCTTTTTTTTTCATCTGTTTGCCCCCCACCAGCTTTATTGAGATCTAATGGACAAATAAGAATTGTACATATTTAATGTATACAATTTGGTGTTTTGATAAGAAGCCATATCTTGTTCCTTTTCAAATCTCCAGGGTCTGGCATAATACCTGGCATACAGAAGATGTCTGTAAATGCCTGCTGAATGAATGACTGGAGAGCAATTGGAGGCAAAGGAGCAATTGCAGTCTGGCAGTGAAAGGAGATGAATCCCATAGTTTGAAGGCAAATGAGAGCAGGGCAGTAGATGCTGCTGGAGCAGGTAATAAGTAGGGAATCGGATTCTCCAGAGCATGGAAAAGATGTAATTAAAAGCACAGCTTTGAAAAGCTTTAGAAAGCAAGTGGGACAGCTCTTTCTCTGAGTCTTGAAGGCAGCATGAAAGGGTAGGTGTATAAGATAAAGTAGCTTAGCTCAGATGGCCCTTTGCTAAATAAGTCATGAAGTTAATGCCTTTGCTGAGAATGAGGTGGAAAAAGTGAGATCTTGAGCCTGAAGAAAAAAACTGGAAGAGTGTTGGTAAGAGTGTATTGGTGAATCAGTAAGAGATGACTAGATCTCATGCTATATCCCCAGGCATTAAGGGCATGTTATCACAATCCGATTCCTTTCTGTAGACCTTGAAATAACAGGCTGCATCTATCAGTCATGCTAATTGGGACTGGCTACCAGACTTGGGGCCTGGAAGTAACTGGAGTCACAGATATCTCCCTCTCCTGAACTCTCTCTGCACTTCCTTTCCACCTTTTAAGGCACTTAGTGTAGTTTATCTCCTATTGTAACTATTTATCTTTTTCTTGGTAGACTGTAAACAATTGAAGGCAAGGGCTGTGTCTTAGTCACTGTTGTGTCGTACCTCAGCATAGTGCTTTGTACATAATAGGCAGAAGATGTCTGTACCAGCCACACGTCTCTAATATAGCATTTATCACATCATACTGTATATGTCTGCTTGCTGTCTCTTCTTTTTGACCATGAGCTCAAGGGCAGGGTTTGAGTTGTATTGATCTAGGTCTCCATTGTGTTTGGAACTTAGTAGTTTTGCAAGTGTTTATTGAATCAAAGTTTGTTGAAATGAATGCATGGATGAAATAATGAATAAGGAATAAAAGATAGCAAAACGTGGGGATTTGGGGCGGGGACTTAAAAAGATGGCATACTGCCTAGGCATTGTATTTTGTCAGTCTCATCCTGGCATCAGTAAGTGTGTAAAGCTGGTAGAAAATGATGCTGGGAAACCTGTCTTCTTGTACACCATAAATGTTTGGAATACATATTCTGGATCTTCTTATGCAAATCTTTAGCCACTCCCTTTCACAGCATAGGGCCTTGGGTAAAAGGGCTAAGGGTTCCTTGCAGCTAAATGGCTGATTTGTCCACCCTTATTAGGTACCTATTTGAAGAGTTCAACGTCACACCACCATGGTCACTGTTTGCTTGGGAAATTATACTTTAAAGTTGACATTGCAGAGAAAAGTAAAAAGATTGACGAAACAGTATAGAAACAGCACTGGATCAAAACAGTGGAAATCCACCCCCACTACAGGAAAAATGGCTCTTGAAGAGCATCTTTAAAATTTCACTAGTTTGTTAAGGCTTTTTTGTTGTTGTTGTTGTTAAAGTCTGTGAAGCCCATAGCAAATAGCAAAAGCTAACACTTACATAGGGCATACTATATGCCTAGGCATTATTCTGTGTGATTTACATGTATTATCTCATTTCTCACAACTACCTTTTGAGACAAATACCATTATGATCTCCATTTTGGACAGGATGAAACTGAGGGACTGAGAGGTAATACAAAGCAATCAAGGTCATACAGCTAGAAGTGGCGGAGCTGGAGTTCAAACCCAAGCATGGCTCCAATACACCAAAGAGGAAAGCACTCGTCTAGGTGTCTGGTTTACATGTGTAGATTATAAAGAAAATCACCTTATCATTTCTGATTATGATAATCCCAGCATTTATGGAGAGTCTATTATATGCCAGGGATGCTAATAACACGCTTTAGTTGCATTATTTCATTTCTTCCTTACCACAAACCCGTGAGGCACTATTTTTATCCCAATTTTAAAGACCAAAAAAAAAAAAAAAAGGTATAAAGGTTAAAACGATTCGCCCAAGGATTGAAATGCAGGCAGGCTGACTCGACTACGAGCTTCTCAGTCTTTCCTGGCAATAAAATGAACGGAGGACCTGAAAGAGATGCCACGAGAGTACAATGAAATAATGGATGTGAAAAGGCCTCGGTGAACAAGTGCAAGGGATAAGGCCTGTCTACGTGAATCACTGTTGTGAACTGGTTACCCAGGGCCTCTGTCCAACGGTTTCCAGTCCCAACCCTGCCCCTTCTCCGCCCAACCCACAGCGATATCTTTGAATCTCTTTATCTCCTCGGATCCTGCCCCCAAACACTTGGCGGAGCGGCGGAGCGGAGAATAGAAGGTCCGCGCGCGAACAGGAGGCGGGGCCTGCCGCCTCGAGCCGTACAGGGGGTGGTTTCTGCACATGCGCTGTGTCTCTGCGGCTTCAGCGGCCCCCTCTCTGCGGCCAATCAGGGCCCGCGGCGCGCTCGGGACGTATCAACGCTCTGTGGGTCGTGTGCGTGCGAGGGGGGCGACGTAAGGGCGCTCCGCGAGCCCGTCTCTCCTCGAATGAAAGGAAACAACCTCCGGCGACAGAGCCCCGCTCTCAGGCACTGCCGGAGAACCGAGACCGACTTCTTTCTCTTTACCCTCATTGGCGCTTCTCTCCTGCCGTCCGCCTCTGGGCCCTGCCGGTGAGTCCCCACGGAACCCTGGGGCCCCCCATTCTCTGCCCGGCGGGAGAAGACAAGGAGGATGGCGGTGGCCAGGCCGCCGCCCCTGCCCGTTGTTAAAGGGGACTCTTGGTGGTCTCGCTTTATTGTCAGGGACCCCAGAAGCGCCGCTCATTGTAGACGCTTGGCGGAGAGGCTGCTGAGAAAGTGCCTTGGAGGTGCAGAAGGAGAGGTTAGGCTTACGCCTAGACTTCGGGGGAGGGGGCGCAACATTTGAGGAGGGAAAAAACTGGGAATTTTTAGTTTTTGCCATTGCTTAGAACATATTTGGGAAGGAGGGAGACTCCCAGTTTGGGAAGAGTAAGAGGAAGAATTGTTAGGATGGCAAAAGAGCTAGCCTTACGGAATGAGGAAAAACTCCGGGGTGGGGGGAATTAGGGGTGAAACTGGGGTATAAGGGGAAGCTTACAACGAAGACTGTGAGAGGGCTAACTCTTGGGGGAGGGGGCATAAAGAAAGTGGTAGGATGATATTTTCCTGGATTCGGGAGGATTGGAAAAGGACGTTTAGGGGACCCTGACTTTACGACGGAAAGGAACCTGCTGAAGTGTTTTAGAGGAAGATAGTTTTGTGACTTTAGCGCTTGATTAGAGGGAGATCTTGGAGTCTAGTGTGTATTGGGGGAATAAATAACGGAGAGGATCCGGTACTTTATGTGTACTGTCTTTCATTATATGGATGAACACCACGGTATTCTTTTCCAATTTCTATTCGTTTTGATATTCTGCGTGGAAGTTAGAAAATCTTTTGTTTTTAGAAAACCTTTTATTTTCATCGCCTTACTACGTAATGTCAGGTCTTATTTATACTGTTCAAATTATTTCTCTACCCTTGGGTTTGAAACAACTGGAAAATTCCTTTAGTTTCCTTTTGAATAACCGCAAAAAGCAGTGCGAAGCATGTAATAATATCGTGCAACCAAATTCAGGTGCCCTTCCGGTATATCTTATTCGTTTATTTCTGTCCACTGTAACTTTCCTGTTAGAAATACTGCTTCTTTGGGGAATCACGTTTGTTATCTATTTTGATTTGTATATTTCAACTTGCTGTCGCGTGGAATGTTTTAATCTTCCGGAACTGCAGTTGTTGTTTTGTTTGTTTTTCTGTGAAAATGCTTTTTCAGATACCAGGCATTGAATGAGCTCTGGAGTTGGTTCTTGAATGCTCTCTCTGATGTTTCAGGTTATTTCTACCTTGGTGCTTCACAGCATCTTGGAAAATCAGAAATGCATTGATTGCTTAAGCTTAACTAATCTAGCTTTTATTTTTTTTCCAGGCATTTAAATTATGTATTACACGCTGTTATTGTTGCCTCTCCATTTCTGCTTTGTAGTGTTTTCCATAATGCGATGTTTCTTTTAAAGAAAAGGCTTCATTGTTGCGTGAAAGCATCAAACTTTGATCTCTGCATGGCCTGAAAAACCTTTTAGACTAAAATTAAAATGCCATATAGCTGTGGATCATTATGAACCCCTTAGTATTGGTCCTTGGAATGCCCTTATTCTACTTAAGTAGAGACCACAAATGTGACAACATTAGATAAAAATCTGTACTTTTATGATAAAGACATTTTTTGCTAGGAGTCATTGTTTCCATGATGTTCTCCACTTCATGTTTTACAAGGAGACTAAAAAAATTACCAAGATATGCACAGATGTATTATTTGAATTTTAGTGGAAAAATCCATTTAGTAATTGCACATTGGGGAAAGTTTTTAATTGGTTTGGTGCACTTTTTTTGTGGCTCTTGTTACTTTACAAATTAAATTTAAACTGATTACAGAAAAAAATACACTAGAATATTTTTGAATGCAAAATAAAGTGTACCTTTTTTCTCTTTTAGATTTTGGGGTCTTCGATATCTAGAAAAGCAGGTTCTCAAAATTAGAATGAGAAATTAGCCTGGGTGGAAGAGGCAGAATTCAATATAGATAGAATTTTGGGGATGCCATTTCGGAATTAATTTTAAGAATACGAAGTGATTTTTTCCATTCTAGAAATTTTCTTTATCTTAAGCCAGTTTTATAGCCAGTGCTAGGATTGTTTGGAAATTACACATTAAAGATATCTGTACGGGATTTGATTTATACTGTGCCATCCTTTCAGCTGGCCAGGATGACCGGGAGTAATGCTGAATACATTATTATGGTGATTTCAGAGTGCCTACTATTCATTGCATAGTAGTAAAGAAACTAATTTAGAACTCAAATATAATAGCAAATTCTGATGCTGTTTATGGATTTTGGTATTTTGCATAGTTGATTCTAAAAATTTGGGCAGCTATATTCTTGATAAAGCAACCGAACACATACTTGCCTGAGCAAATGCAAACACACTTCCCTTTTGTTTCTTTTGTTTCTCTGTTATGTCCTTTTTTTTCTTTTCTTTAATCCTAAAAGTATTTGCTGCCTGTTTTCAATCAGTTTCACGGTTTATAGCCAGTGCTATGAATACAGTACTATGGTAAAGTATCCGTTGCCATTTGGAAGACTGAGATATTTAAAATTATAGATAGCATTAAGAGTTTGTTAAACCTATCAAAGCAGAGACTGTCAGGGCCTTTGAAGTTGTGTTTAAAAGAAAATTCTAGACATAAATGGATGAGAAGACATGTTTTCTTTGTAGCTTCAGGGTAGATTTTGATTATCTGAATTTTATATTGAAAAGCACTGAATAGTTTGTAGATATTACCTTCCTAGCATACAGCTGCTACTGTTCTTGTTGGTGAACTAATGCTTCTCGGAAAGCTGCAATGTAGTGTTAGAAAATTTTTTTTAACATAGTATTATGAAACTGTTCAAATGTATAGACAAATGGAAAGAATTTAGCAAATTAATTTTAAGACAAAAGTTTGAGATTTTTCTTGATTGTGATGTGTGTTGTGGCAACCTGGATCTTGAACTGCTTAGTCCTGTTGATTTGGGAAAACTATACAAATCAAGTAATTGGTTTTAAATTTCTTCTGAGGAATCCATATTAAGATTGATGATCTAAATCTGAAACCTTTCATGTTACAGCTTTCCTTCCCTTTTTTTTGACTACCCTGTACTACCTATAATTATAATGTGACCAAATTTAAGGCTCATGCAGAAAAAAATTTCTTCCTTTACACAATATTACTAATTTAAGTATGGAAATTACTACATTTAGAAGACCACTATCAGTTTGTGACTTTAATTGATAAGCAGGCTTGGAGTAAATCTTAGAGTCATATAATATGGTTGTTTTATAAATAATTGGGTCTTAAAGTTTGCATTTTTAAATAGACTGTTAGAAACTTAACTATTTACTTGAGAATGGAATAGAATAGCAAAAATTAATTTATTAAAGACATATACCTGATTTTTTTTTTAACTCAGAAATAATTTTTAAAGTGCACCAAAGTCGTAGTTAGGTAAATTCATTTTGCTTTTATTGTTTTATCAATATGTGAACTTTGAGAAATTGTTCAGTTGTAGAATTCTGTTCCCACGGAGTATTCTGAAGTTTCCTTAGTAGCTTTTGCCCTGTTCTTAAGAGGTATAATTCTTTATCTCCTTGAAAGGGCACCTAGCTACACACGAAAAATATTTTACATTAATTATGCCAGCAGGTGATAATTTAATATTATACATTGTACATTTTTATCCGCACAGAAATAGTGTCAGTTATTTCACATATCCTCCAATTTGGGAGCGGTTTGATTTTTCTCAGTTACTCTAAACTTCATTTAGCTATCTGTCTGTCTGTCTGTCTGTCTGTATTGATTATGGAGGCATCTTAGATTTTAATGTTAATTTATGTATACCAAATAACCATTTAAAAATGTATGTATTAAAACCTAGGTCAAACATTAAACAACTTACTTGAATATGTATAAACTGATTTTAAAACAAAATGAACTTTGTTACCTTTCTTATTCTCTGTAGTATTTCTTGGGGCTTCAAGGGGCTTAATTTGTCTGTACTAAATAAATATTTTAAAATGTGTATATTAAAACCTAGGTCAAATTTTTAACAGCTTTAATGAATATGTATAAACTGATTTTAAAATAAAATTAACATTGTTGCCCTTCTTATTCTCTGTAGCATTTCTTGAGGCTTAAAGTGGCATTCTAAAGGCAATTTAAAAATCATGTCAAGCTCAGTTGAACAGAAAAAAGGGCCTACAAGACAGCGCAAATGTGGCTTTTGTAAGTCAAATAGAGACAAGGAATGTGGACAGTTACTAATATCTGAAAACCAGAAGGTGGCAGCGCACCATAAGTGCATGGTAAGTATACCGGCAGCAGCAGAGACCTTGAACCGATTCATGAGAATCTTAATAACACATGAATGTTCCTGAATACTAAAAAAAAACAAAAACCAAAGAAAACTCAGTTAAATTTTAAGAAATGGTTTATCACTAATGCTATGCCATTTTTACTAGAAAATTACCATTTAAATTTAACATCTTATTTACTGTTTTACTGTAATTAATTTATATATGAACCTTAATTTTTTTTAAATGTAATTTATAGCTCTTTTCATCTGCTTTGGTATCATCACACTCTGATAATGAAAGTCTTGGTGGATTTTCTATTGAAGATGTCCAAAAGGAAATTAAAAGAGGCACGAAGCTGGTAAGTTGTTATTTCTGCCTCTTGAGAATAAAAATTATTTAAACTCATTAAAGAGGAAATTGCTTATTTTAGAGTATATTGCATTATTAACTGAGTATAATTTTAAATTGCAGGCCTTTTTTTCTTTTTTCTGAGCCAGCAAAATCCAAGGCCGGGTTTATCTTATTTACCACTCAACAAAAAGGAATGAGTCAATATTTATACTATTCAATTTTTTTTTTGCTTTTCAAAGAGAATTAAAATCTTTTTGGAGGCTGTTTACTTAGAAAACAAGCAGTTTGGTTAATTCGAGTATATATTGTGTTAAAGTCTTCATGCAAGTTTATTTTTCATAATTCTGATATGTTTTCATCTCCATCATAAAGTTATTATGGTCATTACAAATGAAGATGACAGTAGCCTCTCAACAGGAAAGTGTTAGCTCTTGCCGAATGAAGTATTTTATTGTAGTTCAGCTGTATGACACAACATTTATGACTTTGGATAACTTTCAGTGAATTTCACAGGAGCTTTTCTGAAGCTGTGTTAAAGTAATGTTCCTGTAATTGTCTTCACTACCAATAACCATATTAGTAAGATATTACATTGCTCTATTGGAATAGTAGTGTCATCTCAGTTGGTACTTATGGCACATTATGGTTTACTTTGAAACAATTAATGGGAAGATTTATTTTTATTTTTCTCATTTGAACCCTTTATTAAAATTACATCCATAAATGTACCTTTAATAGCTTTGCTCTCCAGTTTCATTTTTTAAACGATAGGTTTTGCCAAACATATAACTGTGTTTGTAGTTACTACATAACCTCTTATTTCACAAAGACTCTGAGATGGTAGTTTTTGGATGAAATGGTAATGGGAAGGGGGGGCTATCATTTTGATGATCAGGAATGATATGTTTTGAAAAGTAGTCTTCTATTAATAGTTTTACATAAAAAGCAATATGAAGAAATATGGGTTCAAAGATGACATTTGAGATTTGCTTTAGGATAGTCTCAAATCCTAGTATCAGTATTAGTACAAATGAGAATTCAGAGGTCAGACCATTTTTGTTGTAGTGAGACCTTAATTGTGAAAATGTTTATCTTCCCCATCCTAAAAACTGTAGATAGTAATAGAAAGCTCTGTTTTGTTTTGTTTTTCTTTTTTCTATCTTTTTTTTTTTGAGACAGTTTCACTCTTGTTGCCTAGGCTGGAATGCAGTGGCGCAGTCTCGGCTCATGGCAACCTCTGCCTCCTTGGTTCAAGTGATTCTCCTGCCTCAGCCTCCCAAGCAGCTGGGATTACAGGCATGCGCCACCATGTCTGGCGAATTTTGTATTTTTAGTAGAGACGGTGTTTCACCATGTTGGTCAGGCTGGTCTTGAACTGTAGACCTTAGGTGATTTGCCCTCTTCGGCCTCCCAAAGTGCTGGGATTACAGGCGTGAGCCTCCGCGCCCAGCCTAGAAAGCCCTGTTTTTTAAATGTGAATTTTATTTGATGGTTTTAGGTTTCTTCACGTTACTGTGCTGATTTCTGAGAACTATAGCACTATGTTTTTATTTCCTAGTCCTTAAAACAAATGCAGATATAAAAAAGAATGATACTTACTTGAAAGTGATTGTGCTGTAAACCTTATTACCCCTTTATTTATTGCTTGACATTATGACTATCCCTGGAAAATATTTCTGTATCTTGACTCGTTAGCATTTTGTCACTTGACACAGCTCCTATAGTCAGAACAAAAGCAGTTTTGGTCCCTAATGTTGAAACATTATTAACAAATGCAGTGCCTAGTGTTACATGTTATGTGAAGCAACAGCACACATCTGTCAATATTGCTAAGTTCAATGGAGATTTAATTTATTTGGACCTATTTGTTGAAGCATCAGAACTTTGTATGAGTTTTACTATTATAAATTGTTTTGATTAATTTTTAGTGTTGTAGGGAGATAATTTTTTCCCCAAGTGTAGTGTGTTATAAATAATGAAACTTGTTCCTTGATCTAGGGAATGGAACAATACTGGGAATTGAGAACACAAGCTTTAGTAACAGATTTGAGTTTGAATCCCAGCTCTGTCCTTTACTAGCTAAGTGATCCTGAGTAAGTTATTTACTTCTCCAGGCCATGTTTTCCTCACCTGCAAAAGGGGATAGATAATGACAGTACTTGCCTCCCAGAATTATTGCCAGAATTAAAAGAGGAAGTATATAGGATTTAAGGTGGTGCTGGGCACATGATTAGGACTTGATAAATAGTAGCCACCACTTACTGTTTTTGTTTGTTTGTTTGTTTGTTTTTGAGATGGAGTCTTGCTCTGTTGCCCAGGCTGGAGTGCAGTGGTGCGATCTCGGCTCACTGCAACCTCCTCTGTGTTCAAGCAATTCTCCTGCCTCAGCCTCCCGAGTAGCTGGGACTACAGGTGTGTGTCACCATGCCTGGCTAATTTTTAAAATGTTTTTTATTTTTAATAGAGACAGGGTGTCGCCACGTTGGCCATGCTGGTCTTAAACTGACTTCAGACCATCTCTCCGCCTCGGCCTCCCAAAGTGCTGGGATTACAGGCGTGAGCACTGAGGAATAGTGGCAGAAGGAAAGAACTTTTGCTCCGTTTCCTTCCCTTAGAATGTCACAGTTTAAACAACTTATATAGGGGATGGGAGTGTAACATTTATACGTTTAGGTTTGAAATAATTTTTGAAACTCCTTTTAGCCTTCAGTTTTGCTGCTTTCATTATATCATTTTTATGTGATGTGCTATCAGGTAACCAAAATTCTAGATTTAAGTTTTATTCTCTACTATTCCCTGTGTCAATTTGTCTAAGCAATAAAAGGGCTATCAATCAAATAGGAGGGGAAAAAAAAAGAGTGAAAAGCTTTATGTAACTAGATAAACTACATATAAAACTCGTATAAACTAGGTAATCAGCTTCCCTGATTGACCTTTTTTTTTTTTTTTTTTTTTTTTGAGACGGAGTTTTGCTCTTGTTGCCCAGGCTGGAGTGCAATGGCGCGATCTTGGCTCACTGCAACCTCCACCTCCTACGTACAAGCGATTCTCCTGTCTCAGCCTCCAAAGTAGCTTGGATTACAGGCATGCGCCACCATGCCTGGCTAATTTTTATGTATTTAGTAGAGACAGGATTTCACCATGTTAGTCTGGTCGTGAACTCCTGACCTCAGGTGATCGACCCGCCTCGGTCTCCCAAAGTGCTGGGATTACAGGCATGCGCCACCATGCCCGGCCCCTAATTGACTTTTGAAGGCGTTTTATCCTGTGAGCCTGTGAGCCTGTTTGCTCTGGCTCCTGTTCGTCTGGATTTCTAGGTGAAAAGTAAGTCATGAACACTCATTGAAAATCATCGAAAACTGGAGTACTGACCCCTCTGTGCTTTCAAGACAAATTTCAGTCTGTACCTGGTGTTGACTCCAAAGTTGCTTGCTTGCCCCAAAGAAAAGAACAGAGATAAGGAGGCTAGGGCTTGAGGTTACAGTGTATGTATCAACAGCCAGGTGGGTCAGAGTTGAGGATGAGAGGGCGCAGTAGAGCAGGAGGTGCGTGTGTATGGTTTTTATGTTCTTGCTGCCACAAGCAATTTTCCAAGGTTCATGTCAGCCGCAAGGATCAAAGGAGGAAAGCCATTCTGCATGAACATTTTCATCTTGACACCATCTTTCATTATATAGCACCAAGATAGACCAGGAAAAATTTGCCAGAATACTAAAGCTTTTATGATTTGATGCCCTGTTTTTTCAGTTTAGACAGATATATATTTTTCCAGTATGATTCCCAGTTTCTACTGAAGCCATATGGAGATACCACATCTGTACCATCTATTCTTACTCTCCAGTCATCTAGCCAAGAAATGCAAATTTCCAAGTAAAATTATGAGTTATCACTGCTTTTTTGAATTTGTTTAAGGAGATACTTGAGAGAAGGATATTTGAAGAATTTACTGTTTCTGGATGAAGCTAGCTGGTGAGATTACTAAGGGTATCTACATTGGATAGCTTTTTTTTTTTTTTTTTTTTGATGGAGTTTCGCTCTTGTTGCCCAGGCTGGAGTGCAGTGACGTGATCTCAGCTAATTGCAACTCCACCTCCCAGGTTCAAGCAATTCCCCTGCCTCAGCTTCCCAAGTGGCTGCGATTATAGGCGCCTACCACCATGCCCAGCTAATTTTTTGTATTTTTAGAAGAGAGAGGGTTTCACCATGTTGGGCAGGCCGATCTTAAACTCCTGACCTCAGGTGATCCGCCTGCCTCTGCAGATAGCTGCTATTCTAATTGGTACCGGTGTCAGATTAGATCACAGATTACAAGAAGAGAAAAGAGTTTAGAAGGCCATTTAGTTCACCTTTCTTACCCCTATGCAAGATTTCCTACAAGCCACTCAAGATAAGATCTTTGGCCTGAGGATTGGCTGACACGTGTAATCCCAGTGCTTTGGGAGGCCGACTGGGAGGATTGCTTGAGGCCAGGAGTTGAAGACCAGCCTGGACAACAAAGCGAGACCCCTATCTCTACAAAAAAATATAAAAATTTTGAAATGTGATGTGTTCCTGTAGACCTAGCTACTCAAGAGGCTGAGGTGGGAGAATTGCGTAAGCTCAGGAGTTCAAGGCTGTGGTGAGCTATGATTGTGCCACTATATCCATCTAGCCTAGGTGATAGAGTGAGGTCCTCTCTTTAAAAAAAAAAAAAAGAAAGAAAAATTTGCCCTGTTCTTAAATATATCAAAAAATTGTGATTCTACCCAAGTAACCTGAAACAAGACCAGTAATATATAACACTCCTCAGAGTTGAGAAATTCATCCTTCTGTTTAAATTAAGTATTTCTCTTATTTTAAAGCCGTTTTAGATCTGTCTCCTTCCATTAAATAAATATTTGGGGTTTTTTTTTCCTTATTAAAAAACCCTTTATATACTTGATGACTGTCCTCAGGTCACTCCTAAACGTTCCCTGTTTTCAAACTAAATTTTACTCATGTCTTATGAAATCCTCTGAACAGTTTTCC